TGATGTGCAGGAGATCCACACAGCCCCATCCTATGGGTCTGACCTACACTTGACTCCATCCCTTAGGAGACCAGGCTGGTGTCTGAGAGGAGGAAGGAGCAGGCCAGAGTGTCCAGACATACCAGCAAAGCCAGGTGTGAACATAGTATGAGTACATGAGTGAGTGTGAGCATTTGTTGGTGAGCTGGGGAAGACTGTCCCTCTGTCCCCGGCAATATAGGATGAGGTCGCAAGTGCTAGATAGACAGACTCAGAGCCACACTGTCATCCTGAGCAAAACCGGTTCTGTTAGCAAGAATTGGGAAATGAATACCGATCAGATGTCACTACGGATAGCCGGAGTCATCTGAGAAGACAGATGACCTTCTGGGGTCCTCTCCTCTATCCACTCTCCTAATCTATACCCAAGTCACCTTCCCATCCTTCTACAGCTCTGTAGCTTGGACAGATCACAAGGCATGACTGGGGTTCCCACGGGAGCCCACAGAGAGCAGGGTGACTGTCCAGTTCTCATGAGTCCATGTGTATACAACTTACCTATCTGGTAAGGGGCACTGTGTGGAATGGGGTGGTGTCCAGGGTGGGGCCTGCTCTGGGGCCCTGACACCTTGGGAGAGGGTGGGGTTTATCAGACATAAGAGTGTGCAGAGAAGAGGAAATAAAACAGGACAGTGGACAGCACCCCTGGAGGAGCCTGGGACTTCGATGAGGGTGAGTGCGGCAGGAGCGTCAGAAAGGCCAGGCCTCCCAGGCAGCCGCAGCAAGGTGGGCAAGCTTGGGAGATGTGTGTATAGAAGGGCAGTGTGGAGGATGGGTAAGTGGATGGGCAAGTGAGGGGTATGTGGTGGGATGGGGGGAATAAGGTGATGGAAGGGTAGATTCGTGGGGTGGGTAGGTGGATGAATGAATAGGTGAGTGAGTGGAGGAGAAGTGGGTGGGTACGTGGGTGAATGGTCAGGAGGGGGTGGTAGGAGGTGGGTAGATGGGGCGGGAGGGATTGGTGACGGGGAGGCAGTAGGTAGATGAACAGGAAAACAGGTGGGTAGATAGGCAGGTAGGGAAGGTAGATGGATGGGAGGACAGAAAGGTAGGTGGGATAGGTGGACGGGGCAGGCTCAGCTAAGGCAGAAGGCGGTGCCATGAAGGGGCCTCCATCCCTCAGGTGGCTGCGTTCCGTCTTCCCCACGAGGGGCTTAAGTGTGCGATGGGACTGGATTTGTGCCGTGAGAAGGGACAAGGCTGGGTGTGGGAGGGTGGTGGAGGGGAGCAAGAGCAGGAACGGCTGTGTGAGGCCAGCAGGCAGCCTCCTGAGCTGCTGGACCCAGGGGGCCATGTGGCAGCTGGGTTAGGCTGGATGGGAGAGTGTGTGGGACCACAGGAAGCACCCGCATAGACTGGTCTTCTTCAGGCCACACCCCTATAGATCAGCTAAGAAGGGGTGTGGTCAGTCTGAAAGGAGGTAGGGCCCAGTGTAAAGTGGGAAGGGTAGATAAGAAAGAAGTAGGCCTGAGGAAGATGGAGCTGGTCGCTGTAGAGGATGCTACCTGCCACTGGAGGCATGGGCAGATGTCTCTACCGGTGGCAGGACCCCTCCCTGTCTCCCAGACCAGACTGCACATCTGGCCTATTCCGAATGGTGGAAGGTTAGTTTGGGTCCAGAGAAGAGTTCATGGACTTCAAGGACAGGGGTCCTGGTCCATTAGAGACACGCCTTCACCTGACCCAGCTGCCACCAGGGCTATCCTGTCTTGAGTCTGGCTCCATCTCGACCACCTTCCATAGGCTCCTGGGCTTGCTCTGCCTTCCCCCTACATCTCCGTCCCCAGGTAACCAGAAGCTGTTTCATGTTAAGTGTGGATACAGGCATGGAGTATACTCTGGGTTCCTTGTGTTACATCTTCCCCCAGAGTGCCTCGTAGCTGTGTGGTGCTTAGGTAGAAGGATCGTATAAAAACTCTTCTGTTCCATTCTGAGGCAAGTGGCTCGAATTCCTGGTTCCCACGCCATTCCATGGGTTCTTCCTTGGTCATACTCGGAAACTCAAAAGCACTCTGGTTACCTCACTCATCCATGCAGGCTGTTTATGAGCTGATACCTCACTCATCCATGCAGGCTGTTTATGAACTGATAAGAGACCTGGGAGTCTGCAGGTGCTGATCCGGGGCAGCCCTGGAGGGAAGTGGTTTAGAATTTAGTTCATGCCGAAGGGATGGGTCTGTCTTCAGACCCCAAAGGCCCGCATTGGCCGTGAAGAGACAGAAACCTGAATTCTGCGTTTTGCAGAGGCTGGCGAGGTTCTCTCTGACCCTGGGGGTCTTGGGAAGACAGAGCCATTGAGTACAAAGCCCAGATAGGGTGCTGGCTTGACCTTTATCCTTCCTGCCCTCAGGGTGGCCCATCCCATTGGTCTGCCTCAGATCCTGGGATAGGAACCTACCCAACTGTTCCTTCCTGGCTCTGACCCAGATGGGCCCACCAGTCTTCCACACCAGGGCTTTCCTGGGCTATGAAGGGCTATCCAAAGCTTCTCCGAAACCAGAGAACATCAGGCCTCTGTCTTATGAGATCCGTTATTATTCAGAGCTGGGCTTGGGTTGCTAGGAAATGCGGATGGAAGGTAAAAACGCAGCGAGGGTGGATTGGGACCTGTGCTAGACTCTGCCTGTGTCTGGCCCTGTGCTGGGGATGTGGCTATTTTGGTCTGTGATGCTGCCTTGCTGAGGGTCAGAATTAAGGACCATGGTGCCCTCTGCCTTCTGCTTGGGGACAGTGATGAAGAACTGTCTCCCAATTTCTTTATCGGTAAAGCCACACGCTAAAACATAAAGCAAACACATGTCTGAACAAGGGGTGTTAAGGGAACTTCTCAGATATATTTCCTTCCCTTGCATGTTCAGAAGCCCACACTTTGCCTATAAGCAGCAGGTGATGAGTAATTGGCTGGTTAATCCCATCGGGAAGCTCACTCTAGAGATGGAGGGAGCCCATGGACCGGCAGGAGCTGTTCTGCAGCCTCTGAGGCCCTGGACATAGAGCAGGTGTCTGGGGTGGGGGGCGGAAACAATCAGGCTTGCGTGGGATGGTCCTTGGGTTCTCTGCGGGGACCTTCATAGGGACCCTGCCAGGCCCTTCTGGATGCCCAGCATCCTGCTGACCTGTGGAAATGGTTTTTCTCTCCAGCCCAGGCAACGGGGACTTGGATGAGCTGTCGGCCTCCCACAGTCCTCTGCAAGTGGAACGTGGGCTGTGAGAGGCGACTCACCTTTTCTTTGGCATAGCCACATTCCCATATGTTAACATCTCTCTGAAAACATCAAGGCTTCCTTTCTTAAAAAAAAAAAAAATTTATTTTAGAGCAACTTGCTTTTCCCAGCCAAATCGCTGAGCCTGGGATAGAGCCTGAGGACCAGCTGGGCAGGGAATTCCTGGTCAAGGCCGTGACCTTGGCCCCAGACCCAAGACAGCTAGTCTACCCCTCCCTTAAGGACCACACACACACTTGGCTTTTTTTGCACACTGGCCAGATGTACTTTCCTTTGAAGGATGATTTAAGCTCTGGTCTCTGGAGGCGGAAGGGGACAGAAACAAGCCACCCAGGAGAAGACAGTCTTCCGACCACCTCCCTAGAGCCCATGTCTCTTGTGGCATGGGGGGTTGGGACTGGCTTCCTTTGGCCACCTGCTTGCTTTAAATACTTCCAAATGACCCGGGTGACACAGAGATGTACCTCTTAGATATTTCTGTGCAGTTTGGGTCCAGAGGAGATACCAAACACAGGGCTCCTATTCCAGTAGAGATACGTCCTCACCTGGCCTGGCTGTTACCAAGGTTGTTCTTCCTAACTTCCAGCTCAGTGTTACATCATCCACCCTCCATGGGCTCATGTGCATGCTCTGCCTCCCCCTACCTCCCCATCACTGGGGAATCAGAAGCTGTTTAATGCCAAGTGTGGATGCAGGCATGGAGTACTCTGGGTTCCTTGTGTTAGTTAGACCTTTCTCCTGAGTGCCTTATAGCTATGTGGTACCTGGGCAGAGGGATGGTATAAAAAAACCTTTCTGTTCCATTCTGAGGCAAGTGGTTTTAATTCCAGGTTCCCACGCCATTTCATAGAGTTCTTCCTTCTTCATACTCAGAATCTCAAAAGCGTTCTGATTGCCTTACTCATCCGTGCAGGCTGTTTATGAGCTGATAAGAGACCTGGAAGTCTGCAGGTGCTGATCTGGGGCAGCCCTGGAGGAGCGTGGTTTCGAATTCGCTCATGCTGGTCCCTTGGCTTCTCCAGTTTTGTGACAGGCACCCTGGATGTTCAGGTGTGAGAGACCATTGGGGAAATTAAAAAAAAAAAAAAATATGGGCCTAGAGGGATGGCGCCACAGTTTAGAGTATGTGCTGTTCTTGCAGCAGACCCAAGTTCGGTTCCCGGCACCCATTTCAGGTGGCTCACAAGCACCTAGAATCAGCTCCAGGGGACCCAGTGCCCACTTCTGACCTCCGTGGCCACTGCATTCCCATGCGTGTGTACACAGATACATATATACACGCCTATGCCCATACATTTTCAAGTCTGAAAATCTTTCTAAGTACATTAATTAACTGAACACACTTTAAAGTTTGTGCTTACCGATGCAGGCATGTGTGTGCCGTGGCGCACCTGTGAAGGTCAGAGACAACCTTCAGGAGCCAGTTCTGGCCTTCCGCAGGCTCTTGTGGCAGCAGGCCTCTCTCTTATTTTGGAACCATGCCTCACACCCAGGCTAGCTGGCTCGCGACATCATCATCTTACCGTAGGGGCTCTGGGATTACAGATGTGCACTGCCACATCTGGTTTTCTATTTGGGTGGAGGGACTGAGCTCAAGTCACTAGTCCGGCATGGCAAATGCTTTTACTCAGGGAGCCATGGTCTTCACCCCTGTGAGGGAATCCTGTCCCTGCTCCGGGACACGCATTTGTTCTTTTTCTGCCGTGTCACAGCTGTGTCCCTTTCCTTTCATTTCAGACTCACAAGCAGTTGGTCGATGCCACCAATGAGAGCAACCGCCTCTTCCTGTATTGTGTCTTCCTTAACTTCAGGTACTGCCAGTGTGGGGGGTACCAGGTGGACAGAACGGGGAGCGTGGGGGAAGATGGGGAGACAAGGTGTCCACAGGCTCAGGGTGATGTTTGAGACCCCAGGCCGGTCTCACATCACACAGGGTAGGGTGGTAATCACCGGTTTATGAAGCCAATGTGTTTGCATTTGTGAGCATGCGTGAGGGTAAGACCTAATTGGGTATGACTGGAGGTTGCATGGATTCCAAAGTCTTTTATAGTCCTTAGAATCATCGGCGCACAGTGAGGCCACATGGGAATACCGTCCCGCTGCCTTCTATGATGAGAGTCTTGAGGGAGGACTAGGACTCAGGGCTTTGGGAAACAGCAGTCACTAGCTAGCATATCAAAATCTTAGTGTTGGGGCCAGCGAGATGGCTCAGTGGGTAAAGGTGTCTGTTGCCAAGTCTCATAACCCTGACTTTGATCCCCAGAACTCACATGGCCGAAGGAGAGAACCAACTCCCCCGACCTCCCTATGCGTACTCTAGCATGCACACATACACTACCCCCAAATAAATAAATAAATAAATAAATAAATAAATAAATAAATAAATGTAATAAAAACATCTCTCTAATTGATGGTTAGTGTCAGGGTTAATGTCCAGAAACAGCTTCCGGAAACTCAAATAACCCAATAGCCAGAGACCCACATACCCTGATTAAGTCATGGGTGACAGACCTAAATCGACACTTGCCAAAAGAAGAAATAAAAATGGCCAGCAGATTCAGAAAAGAAACCAAATCAATATCCCAGTCCTCAGGGAAATGCAAATAAGATCGCAGCGAGGCAGTTCTCCACTGCAGTAGGAACAGCTGTTATAAACAAGATGAGGTTTGTGGGTGGGGACCTCGGGGGTGATGGGCACGGTGCAAGAAGCTGAGAGAAGAGGTGATGAGCTCAAGAGCTGAAACTGAGCAAGAATGAATCACAGAGACTCCTGAAAGCTGAGCTGGACAGAAAGAGCTCAGTGGAAAACCAGGTAAGCCGGGCTACTGAGTGGCTGCTGAGAGCCTAGACCCAAGTCAGAAGCTGTAGTGAGGTCATTCACCAGATGAAAGTCATGGAGGAGTTCCTTGTAAACACACATCGCTCACTTCATCCAAGAACACAGTCACCTGCAGCTTGGGGGAGCATCTCATTGACACCCCAAGGCTGCAGGGAGGATCCAAGCCAAGAGAGCTTCTGGGGGGCGGGACTCATTTTCTCAGACCTTCAAAGAGAAAAAGGGTCGAGGGACAAGCAGGGCTGACTCTAGGAATTATAAATCAGAGGAGGAAATGGTGTTTATAGCCAACTTCCATGGAGAGATGTCAGTGGAATCCAAGGGAATCCTGGGAAAGCTAGAAGGATGAATCAGTGTTGAGGGGGCCGTATTCACAGCCCTGGAATACAGGCTGCTCCCGAGAGCCGGCTGGGGCATAGGCATTGAACACATTATTGAAACTTCCCACAGATTCCAATAACCCAAGAAGGAGATTGTAGCAGCCATTGAGATGCTGGGTGCCCAGCGGTCGGGACTCTTGTCTCGAGGATAATTGCAAGTCGAGCAACTCTGGCCCCTTCTCATTTCTGCAAAAGAGCAAGCCTGCGAGGGAATTCTTGTGTCGCTGGCCTTTTGACCACCACAATTCAGTCAGCCACAAGAAGAGAGAAGAAGATTTATGAGTTCCTTTTTGGCGCAGGGGAGATGGCTCAGTCGGTTAAATATTTGCTGTGCAAGCATGGGGATCTGAGTTGGACTCCCCAGAACCCATGTCAAAAGCTAGACATGGGGACATGGGCCTGTAGTTCTAGTGGTGGGAGTCAGAGACAGGAGGATGCCTGGGGCTGGCTGGCAGCCAGTCTAGCCTAATAGGTGAACTCCAGGCCAGTCGGAGACTGCCAAAAATAAAAGGTGGATGGTACCCGAGGAATGACACCCAAAGCTGACCTCTGACCTCCGCACATACATGTGTACCTACACACACACACACACACACACACACACACACACACGAATTTCTTTTCACTCCTTGTTACCAAATGATATATTTGACTTAAAAAAAAAAAGGCTAAAAGCCAGCATTCTGGTTAGATTCTATTGCCGAGATAAAACTGACCAAAAGCAGCATGGGGGAGGAGACCATTCGTTTGATTTACATGTTAGAGTCCATCATGGAGGGCAGCCAAGGGTAGGAACTGAAGCAGAGACCACTACTTACTTCCCCTGGCTTGCTCAGCTACCTTTCTTATACCACGCATGCCCCCCTGACTGGGGGATGGCACCACCCACAGTGGGAAGGGCCCTCCCATGTCAATTAGCAAGTGAGGAAATACCCCAGAAATGTGGCCACAGGCCAGTCTGATGGAGGCAGTTCTTCAGCTGAGGTTCCATCTTCCCAGATGCTTCTGGGTCGTGTCAAGTTGACAGCTGAAACTAACTACAACAGACAGTAATGCTGGCCAGGGTGTGGGGCAAAGGGGAGTTCGAGTTAGCACAGCCATTGTGGAAATCAGTCTGGAGGTTCCTCGGGAAAAGAAATCAGACCCACCCCTGGTGCACATCCAAAGAAAGTGGAGTCAGCAAGTTAGAGAGAATGTTTTCCCAGCATTACTCACAATAGCCAAGATATGGTATCAACCTACGTTGATGATATGCACGCACAATGCAATTCTATTCAGCCCCAGCTCCCAGAGACGGCCACACCACACGCATCCAGCCAGACCACTTTGCAAATGATTCCTTATTATGTATTCAGGAGAATTCAGTTTGAAAGCATAGTCCTCTTGGTTTTGATAAGTGAACACAGCTGTGCCGTCGTCACGTGACCGAGATCTAGGACAATGCTATCCACTTCAAATGTTCTCCCCCATGGCATGCATCTGGATGGAGGTCAGAGGCCAACCCTGGGGAGTCAGCTCTCTCCTTCTTCTATGTGGGGTCCCAGGGATGGAACTCAGGTCGTCCCGCTTGACGGCAAGCGCCTATACCTGCTGAGCCCTCTCACTGGCCCCTTAGTTCATTTTGAAGGGAGCTGCTTCACTTCTGAACAGTGGGGGAAATCTCTGGAGCCCTTTCTGCTATTTATTGATTTGTAATTAAATATTTTATGATCTAAAAAGGTACTTCCTACGGCCTGGGTTTTTAAGATGCATTTTAAGTTGTTTATACAACCCCTACTCTAGTGGTCCCAGGAAACAATGCGTTCGTGGCAGAGGTTCCATAAATGTCAGCGCGGTCACACGGAGTAGCAGTTATGCGCAGGTCTTCTGGTCTTGCCACTGTTCTGTTAACTTGTCCTGCCAATCACACTTGGCCCTCAGTCCCCATGAATTTTGTGGTAGATATCCAACCAACCACAAACCTGAAATGTCCGGGCTGCGGGGGAATTACACCTGTAACGAGCATGTGCGGACTTCTTGCCTGTCATTATTCTTTCCATGATATAACTGTCCACATGCCATTTGCATTGCGTTTTATATTATGCATCGCCTGGAGATGAATGTAAGAGGTTGTGTGGGGACTCTACGCAAACTTTGGGCCACTTTCAATATTTGAGCTTCTTCGGCGTTTAGTCTCCACGAGGGGGTCCTGGAACCAATTCCCAGAGTGGGAAGCTGGGCTCAAAGTCACAGGCCAGGAAGACAGGGAGACAGCAAGATCAAAGCCTGCTGAGGCTACAGAGAGAGTTCAAGGCTAGCCCCGGCAGCTCAGTGAGACTCTGTCTCAAAATAAAAAGTGAAAAGGGAGGTGGGGGATATGGCTTAGTGGCAGAGCACTTTCTTAGCATGCATGAGGTTCTGGGTTTGGTTTGAGAGATGGAGTGAACAGACCTGAGAAAGAGATGACCCAGAACAGTGAACTCAGAGGAGGCGTGTGGATTCTCCACTGTGATGGTGGCCTGGGATCATTGCTCTTGTCTGTGGTACATCCTTCTTTGCCCTGGAAGATAAGCGCTACTCTGAGGTCCGCACCATCTCATATAAACACAACTCCGCGGCCCTTTTAAAAATTAAGTTTTTATTATTTTTAATTAGGGATATGTGTGTGTCTGCATCTGTGGGTATGTGCACATGAACTCAGGTTCCCACAGAAGTTGAAGATATTGGAGCTGGAGTTATAGGTGGTTGTGAGCCTCCCAATGTGGGTGCTAGGGTGCTCTAGAAGAGCAGTCAGTACTATTAATTCCCAAGTGATTTCTCCAGGCTTCCCTCTACCCTTTCAATTAGTATATCTTCACCCCCCATTTTCCTTTCATCCTCTTTGAGTAAAAGTGGGGCTTTTAGACCGTCTCTCAGAAGCCTGCTCAGACCATTTACATTGCATGCCCTGTGTCTACCTGCAATGGATGTCCTAGCACTTTAAAGGTATTCCAAGATGTAATTAATACATCGGCAGTCCCTCCTGCCCATAGCTTGTGAGGTTGCACTGTCTTTAGTAGATCTTTGCAGGTTCTTTCGTTTCTGCCCCAGACAATTGACTATCTTGTAGAGCAGTTACCGGACAAGACCAGAGTCATGCCACAGACGCCTACATTGATCCCATCTCTAGCTATTTTTATGGCTTTGTGCAGAGCCACGCTTCTGTCTGCTATAATGTCCCTTTAACCTTCCTCGGATTGCGAGCCTGCCAGAAGTAAATTCAGTTATCGCTCGTCTGAGAACAAGCTCCCTTTCGTTGTTGAAAGATGCCTTCACTGGTCTTAGAATTCTGGGCCACTTTTTTCCTAATTGCATTTTTTTTTTTGGTAGACCAGGCTGGCCTCGAACTCACAGAGATCCGCCTGGCTCTACCTCCCGAGTGCTGGGATTAAAGGCGTGCGCCACCACCCGCCCGGCCCTAAATGCATTTTTTTATTAGTTATAATTTTAAAAATACTTCTTCTCTGTGTGTGCATGCGTAGTCGGCCGTAGGTGCAAGTGTTCCAGAGTGGGTGTGGGATGCCCAGAGGATGATGGCCTGCAGCTCAAGTCAGCTCTCTCCTTCTTCCCTATGTGTCCCAGAGAGCAATCGAACTCAGGTCCTCAGGCTTGACAGCAAATGCTTTTAATGGCTGAGCAGCCGTCCTGCCAGGCGACGTGGGTCACTTTTTGGAAAAGATTAATACTCTAAGAAATTATACAAAGACTCTCTTGGTGTATATTTAATATTTATGTATACATGCATTTACTTATTTACTTTGTGGGACTGAAGATGGGACCCAGAATCGTTCATGCTAGGCCCATGCTCTACCACTGAACTATACCCCCAGCCCACCCCCTAAGATATTCACATTCCTCCTTTTCATTTGTTCAAGATGGGCCTCACTCTACAAGCTAGCTTAAAATTTACCATATAACCCAGGCTGGCCTTGAGCTCACAGCAAGCCTCCTGTCTCAGCCTCCCAAGTGTTAAGATTACAGGCGTGCGTGTACCACCACGTCCGGGCTTCAAAATATTATTCTTTTTATTTTTGAAGGTGGAACATCATTTTAAAAAGACAAATACCTCTTTTATTTTTACATCTTACCCTGAGTTTATGCATGCGTGTTGAAATAATTTATGTGTCATCTACACTTGCTTTCATGAGAAATATATGGACGTGTTTTAGCCGGACATTTCTTGCACCATTCCACATGACTTTCTTTTGTGTTCTGTCTCTACCGATACCTGTTTCTTTTACTGTATTTATATACATCACATTGTATTTATGTACCCGAGTGACCATATTTCTGCCTCGACGTGGCCGTCCCAGGTCACAGGCTGTGCATATTTTTGATGTTATCTGAAATGGCTCAGCTGTCTTCTGTGCAGATTTATTTGCGCACAGCTGGGAAGCTTCCCGCTCCTCCCCACCACCTCCCTTGGGAACAGATTTCCATCCCATGCAGAGGTGACACCTCTCACAACTCAGCTTCCCTGGCTGATTAGGGCAGAGTCACACCTTCAGGGTTCGGTTTTGGGACGTGACTTTCAAGGCTTGTCTGCACACCCTTCGCTAGAGCCGAGGGCCAGGTCTGCCCTCCTGACTGTGTCCAGCCCTGTGAATTCTCAGGGTCACCTCAAATGGAAACGTGGCATCCTTGCGTTAAGTAGGCATACAAAGTAGCTGTGTCAAACACAATCTCCTGTGTGTTGGTCCCTCCCCAGGTCCCGGGAAAGTGAGATCCAAATGTGGGGTGGGGGAGGGGCCCACGACGCCTTTGTATTCTGGAGTTACTGATGGGATCTGGTCTCTCTACACGTGGTTCCACTGGCCCAGGCTTTGCTTTCTGTTGGGTGCCTCTGACCTCCCCCAGGAGGTGACTCATTCATCATGAAAACCACCCAGAAAGCTGCTGTTCCCTGAATCTCAGTTACCAGGTGCGGTGCCCACACCACGGCTCCATTCCCACACTCTCAGCCCA